CCTGCCTGCCTGCCTGCCTGCCTGCCTGCCTGCCATCCACCCACGCACCCATCCATCCATCCATCCTGTAGCAGAGAGAACTTGCTTGCTTGTTCACCAACTTTCTTACTCCTTGTGCAGCATGCAGGGCAACTGGACCCAGCTCTATTCTTCAGTCATCTTTCCTTTCCCTCTCTTGGCCAACACCATCTTGGCCTGTCTTCCCTGATTGTGTCACCTTTGTGTTGCCCCTGCCTCAAGAACCCAGCACTGCCAGAGAAGCACATCCCCTGCAGGGTGCAACAGTGTATGTGTGTGTGGGGAGGGGGGGCGAGGAGGCAGGGAGTTCCTTATGCTTTGTATAAGAACTGCATAGTTGACTACACCACAAATTTGAAACTCTTTTTCTAAAAGGACAAGACAGGCTAAGGGATTTCTGAAGAACTCAGGGCATAATTACCCTGGACATCATAACCCAAACATCTTTAGGAATAGAGCTCAGAAATTGTGAAGTTTCTAGTTCCAATTTCTGTGGCTCCATACTAGAGTAAATAAGCAGGGACATTTGCAGCAGCAGACACAACTGGATCTGTGTGTATGCCTATGTTACATGTATGTAAAAGAGGCAAGGCTTCAGTTGCACAGTTTTGTTTACCACCTTGGCCCCCTGACCCCAGACAGCCCCGTACCGCAGACAGCATGGAAATAAGGCAAGCAGAGATACAGTGCCATAAAAATGAGCAGTGCTTGTATAAGATAGGCCAAGCAAGAAAGGTAGAGATTTCTGTTGGTAGAAAAATCAATCCATATTTTAAAACTTGTTCATAGACATTCCTCAGATGGCACTACCTCCCTCCATTTCTTCTTGACTAAAGAAGATATTCCACAACGTATGCTAATATCTATCAGAGCTACAGGGAGAACTCCAGCCTCTGACACACTCAGGATCTAAACTCATCCATCATACTGCACATATTAGGATACAGTGTGGAAAACCTCTCATGAAGCAGAAATGCTATCTGATGCTAATATGCTTTCTTTAGGAGAGCAGAATAAAAATATTTTTCCTGAAATTGTAAGGTGAAGCCAGATCTTCAGGAAGCAATAAAGCAAAATGGAATTAAATGCAGATATCAATTTTCAAAAAGCAGATTAAATTTTACTTTATATGGGTATGACAGAAATATTTGTTGCCACTGCAAAATTTATACAAGGGAAAAGGGAGGGCTTTCTGTATGTACTGAATGAAGATAGGGTCATTAGAATTAGCACCTCAGGATTAGTACTTCAGGATTTCTCCAGGATTTCTCAAAGATAATGCATAAAGATTTGGCCAGATCATTGGCTTATTTTTTTCAGAACCTTTGGATGCAATTCATGTGGTCCTGGACATTTAAACTCATTCAAAGTGTAGAGATAGTCTCTGGCCATGGTTTCAGAACTTCACTTGGCTTTTTGTGTGGCCACACTGGCAGCTTTTATTGTCCTCTTTTCCTCATTGGAATTATTTGCAATTGTGCTTTTAGTATTCCTTTAGGAACTTATACTACCTTGAGCTCCTTTTCCCATTGGCTTCTCCTGCCATGGGATTTATCATTAGCCTTTTTGTCTGATGTACACGGTATGTATTTGACTATATTTGGTTTTAGTTTCCTTAAAAACAAGAATTCCAGCTTTATTTTTCATCAGCGTTCCAGCGGGTATATTCAGTTTTTTGACTAAGTATACTCTGTATCAAGTCAAGGATAGCTGATCCTCATATGCCTTTTCCCACCCTTTGAAGGAAATAGTTATCAGCAATAGAAAAGAACTTTGTGGAAAGACTATGCTTGGCAGAGTTTGTCTTCCAACAGATATTGGAGTAATTAGAGCCTTCCATTGCCACATGTTCATGCATGTTTGAAAGATTTGCATCATACACGTTCTTCTGGTAGCAGACAGTCACAACCGTGCTATTGTTTTATTTGTTCCTTTACTTGTTGTAGCTCAGCTGCTGTCAAAAACATTGCCAAGTTCATTAATTCAGATTTCTGAGCAGAAATTTATATTTTTTAACATAGAGTAAATTACTACTCCTTTTCTGTTGCTTTTACTGTTGTTTTTAACAAAAAATCCTTTTAATTGCTATATTTCAATAATTGGAGTCATCCTAGCTGACCTGTGTGATACCTATTAAAACATATTTGCCTTTTTGTAGTAAGAGCTCAAGATTATCTTGTTTATTTTCCACTCTGAGCAGTAGTGTAAAACAATGAAACCAGTGTTCTAATTTTTCATTGACTGGTTTAAGAAGCTCCATTTCAGCAACACTCCCACTTTCTATAGTGCACAGATATTTGTCTGAGGTCCTTACTGTTATAAACTGGGGTCTCTCACAGCATCAGTTTGGTTGGGACCTCATCACTATAGGTTATAAAACAGGTTTATGCATTCCATAAGTCCAAAAGTGAAACTATAATCCATAAGCAATCAATGTAATTTATTAATATTTGAGGCTAATGCTATACAGGGCCATTATATAATAAGTAGTTGACAATTTATGGGGAATATAACCAAGAATTTTTGAGGTAAGCAGTTAATAATATATTAGAATTTAGCACATTATTCAATTCAATGAGAGAAAAGCAAGGAATTCAGAGAACAGTACATTCAATTTAATGAGAAAACATGAAGCAGAAGTTCAGACAGTATCAGGGAAATGGACGTTTCAAGAAGCAATTCTCTTTACACACTGTTCAGCTATAGAAGGAAGAAGCAAAAAGAGAAAAGTAGATACCTTTCATGCAACAAATAAAGCCAGAATTTTCGATACTTCCTGCCACAGCAAAGAGGGACAGAAATGTACAAGAGGTTACCATTCACATATATACATACAAAAGTGATAAGCAGGAGCACCTTTTGTACAGGTACCACTATTGAATAAAATAGAATGCTTCTCAGCTGAAAGAAAGGGGAAAGAATAACCTTTTCTTTGCAATATTGAGCTACTTGTGGATGTGGTTCTAGTTCTTGAAGGTCAGTGTTAGATGGATCCTCCAACTGTTGCAGAGAAAGATGGGGTGCCTCTCAGCTGCTTACTAGCTGGTTGCCAGCACTCTTTCATTGGGTCTATTCAGTATGCTTCCTGGCTTCCTGAAGCCATGGTTCTCCTGGAGCTGGAGACTCAGGACTGATCTGTACTGCCTTGTTGCTCTCTTGCCAGAATGGGCAAGCAAATGTTTCTGGAGAGGAGAAACAGATGACATTGCCCGCTCACCTTCAAATAACCTCAGGGTGTGTTTTTCTGCTCCACTTCCTACTTTATTACATTGCCCTGAAGGTTCCTGTCTGTTTGGGCTAGAGCGCTTCAATCTGTTGTAAACTAATCTTGGTAGTTAATTGGTTACTTCACAGAGGAAGGACTGCCCTTCAACTGAGCTAATCCTTACAGTGAACTCCAAGAAGTTCTATTTTTCTCTTTACCATCACTACTAAAATAGCGTAGTGGGCTTAAAATCTTTATCTTGCATAGAGAAAGTTGCTGGCTCAAAAGCCAGTAGATTTTTTTTTGAAAAATGTAACTATACTTCCCCCCCCCCTTGAATTTTTCACCTGCACTTTTTCAGTAAGTCTAGGAGTTTACTGTTTTAGCATTTTTCCAGTCACCTGATGTGGAAGGGTGGCATCACCAGCTCCCAGATAGCCCACAGGTTACTTGGGCTATTCTTTCCCTTTGACATCATTTATATAACTAGTCATTGACCTGCAGTATTCTTTCAGTTTTGGTTATCTTTCATGAACAAAAAGGATGGATGTGAATACCACTTAAGCCTCCAGACTTACTTCCAAGATTTTCTAAGTTCATGGTGGTGCCATGTCTGTGGGGTTTCTGGTTCCATTAACTCCTTTCTTTCCAAGATGCAATCTTAAAAATATGAAGTTTTCCTGATTTATTATTATGTTTAAATTGGCACAGTCTCTAACGATTGTGTTGTGTTCATGAAACTGAAAAATATTACTGTTTAACATTTAAATAAAGCTAGTGGGAAAGGTCAACTGTCATTTCAAGGAAAGATACCATTGGTATATTGTTGATATTGAGCTGTACATCTCAGGTAACTTCACCCTGGACTCAGCCAGAGATGCTATTGCAGTCTTGAATTGGTATTTGGAGGCTGTTTGGATCTGGATGGGACAAAACAGGCTGAAATTGAATCCAGGCAAGACAGAATTGTAGAAAGGATCACTGTAATCTGTGGTGATAACCTTTGAAGGGGCTTTCCCTGAAAGAGCAAGTCCATGATTTGTAGTCATGTAGTATCAGTTTTATAGATGCTGCACTGGATACTAAAAGGTTTCTGGGTGTAATTCAGAGTGCTGGTTTTGACCTATAAAACTTTATATTGTTTGGTACCAAAGTACCTACAGGATTGCCTTTTCTACATAGAGGTGACCCTCCCAGCTCATCTAGTGTAGACCTCCTGCCAATATCTTTTAATGGTCTCCCATGTAGGAGAGGTGGAAGGGGCTGGGGCTTACATGTGATGTTTTTCTGCTGGAGGTCCTGTGTTGTGGGACACCCTCCCTCTTGAGATTAGACTGGCACCATAATTTGTGGCCATCTGGAAACTGAGTTGTTCTGGAGGATGTTTGCAGGACAAATGGTCACTGTAATACTTACTGCTTTTATAGTTGGTTGTGTTTCATTGGCTTTATTGTTGTTCTGTTCTTATATTTTTATTCTGTAAACTGCTGGGAGTCATTTTGAATCCAGTGGTATATAAACACTAAATAAGTAAATAAATGCTTATGTGAAAGGATATAATAGTCAGTTGAGTCTAGTGATTAACTAATATTTGCTTTCTAGTATTCAGCATTTTTACCCCCCTAGATTTCATATCACTAAGATATTGAATCTGTAAACATATATAACCAAGACATGTTTTCTTGCACTGAACTATTATTTAATTAGAGGGAAAAAAGCTACTGTGTGTGTGTGTGTGTATATATATATATATATGTGTGTGTGTGTGTATGTATGTATGTATG